GTTTTTAGTGAAAATTCACCATTGAAAACCTAAAAACTTGTTATCACTTTTTAGATACCTCTATCGACTCAGGAAAGACTTATTTCATTTAGATATAGATCCCTAAAAGCCGTTGAGCTTCTGCAGCGTGAACAGCGGTATTTAAAAGATGGTAACAAGTGTTTAGGTTTTCGATGGTGAATTTTCACTAAAAACTGTCTAAATCATAAAAAATTCATATCTTGCAAAAGCTTTGGTTTATAAGTCTAAAAGTGTCGCAGTGAGTAGACAACATCTATCTTCATTAATTAACTCATATCTCCGTCAAAAAGGCACATGGGCCCAAACCAACTTGGGGTTTTTCACTGCTGACTATTCCCTACATGATGAAAATAGTCTGAGTCGAAAAGCTTTTAATCACCTTGAGAGGTTCCCTTGTTAGAGTTACATCTGATTTTTAGAGTGGAAGTCTATTTCAGATGCTTCTGGATTTTTTCCAAGTGGGTTTTAACATTAACCTATTGCTTTGAAATTTTTCTTATTCTAGTTAGTGATTCTATGCAACGTGAAAGTGCCATCGCAGAAGATTACTGGCGCTATATATTCAAACATGAAAAGAAAACTCAAACCGAAATAGCAATGGAAAGCTTAGAACAAAAGTAAGGGTATATGTTATCTGTTGTAGTGCACTTACTTCTGTTTAATAACTAATTTTTTAGGCTGGAAGAGCTCAAGAATCGATTTCAAGAAATAGGATCTGTAAGGTAAAATGACCAACATCTTCATATCTATTTCATTGTAGTGATAACTAATTTCGGTTTAGGAATATTCATAGACAACATACAGACAATTAACTTTATTTTTTCTCCCACTCATCATTTTTTGGTGATTTTGTTACATGTATTATTCATAATAAAACAGGAATATTACTAACTGGCACAACATACATATCCATTTTCCGTGTGTTCTGTACGTAGGAACCATTGCACATAAGTCACGACAAGCCAAGTTCAATGACTATATCAGATTTTTTTCTAAGATGCCTCATCTTGTAGAGCATGATCGAAAACCTATAAATCTAAATTTGTAGACTTTCCGAACTTTTCATTTTTTTTCTAAATTTTTTGGACTAAAGTAAAGTTCGAGAAGTTATGCACGTGAAAAATGTACATTTCGTTTTTCTTGTGAACGAGAAGAGATGACACAGCGATTTTTTCAGAATAGGTAGTACTTGAGGTCTATATAATGACATACAAATATTACTTATACCTCTTATCCCATACATTACAGCAAGACCGAAACGGAGCTTCATGGAGCACTTTTGTGAGCGATCGATCTCGCTACATTTGGTCAGATGGACTATATCTGACTGGAGATACTTTGAAATTTTATCTTTCGTTTGAAAGAAAGTTTGTATAGCCGCTGGAGGATTTGAGACAAATCGCAAATCGATATCTGGCGGAACTTTCCTCGAAAACTGCGTCAGTTTCCATTTCAGAATTTGTGTAGAGTTCCAAGCATATGAAATTTTCATGTAGATCCGTTTCTTTTCAGGTCCGATCATAGGCACATTTATTTGTTTTTTTCTCACTTTTATCTTTTTGAAACCATTTTGTAGGCTCTATCCCAATTCGTGTGTCAACAAATGACAATGGGTAGTGATTTATTCTAGCAATATATGTAATCTGATCAAATTCATCGTTGAATTGAATAAAAGGAAGACTTATATTGGGCTTGACGTTTTGATAAAAGTGCGACAGGAGAAGAAAAAAATACTGAGACTCACCTAGTTTCATGACATTCCACCGCCTTTGATTTTATCAGTGGCTCTTCTGGAACCGCTATGGTAGGTAAAGGGTTAACTATATCATGTCATTTGCAGTCGATTTAGTATACCAGTGCCTTTTCTTAAAATATTCATGAACATTTGAGAATTAGTCCAGTATTATTCCAAGTATTTATTGACTCCCTCGATTTCTATTCTATCCGAAAAAAAAGTCGTGTATTAGTATTTTGTGAATTATGGATTTGTGTATACACAGAAAAACCAGAGAGACCATTTTGAATTTCAAAGAGAAAACCTTGTAGATATTAATATGAATTTGTGATTGTTTGTTAGCTACAATTAGCAACATATAAATTGATTTTATTCGTCTTCTTACATAATATGTTATAATGTATTATGATCAAGCCTATTATATCATTTGGTAAAGGTACATTACTAATTGTTTTCTGAATACTATTACTAATACTTTCCAATTCTCTTATATTATCAACATCTATTTCATTTATCTTCATTATAGTATCTTTTGATAGTTGATTATTAAACTTATATTGAAAAGCACCAGTAGTTATAATAAAAGCATCAGGAACATAGAATCCTCGCTGAAATAATAGGGGCAGATTTGCTCCTTTACTTCAACAATTTCCAATTCAACAGCATGTTTCTCTTTCAGATTTACAACAAATGGTACATCATCATTATAAGCCATTTAGTATATTATTTAATAACAGAATATTTACTAGAACACAGAAAAGAAAAGTCAAATTAAAATGTTTAAAAAGATTCTGTCAGAGTAGTCCCTCGTACAATTAAAAGATATAACTTCTTAAGCTCTCAAAACGCGCTGTTTACATGACCGATTATTCTGCAATCATAACTTAATTTCAGTCATAATGTCATATTTAGCTTTGGTGGTTAAGTTTTCCGTTCACAATGACCTGCCGTGGCTACGGTAATCTTACCGCTAACTTTTAGGACCATCTTCTTCGAAGAAAGTATCTTTTCAACGATCATATTGGCGGACCTCAAAATAGGGAAGGGAAAATCGTCAAAATCCAGGCGTAGAAGTAAATTCAAACTGACACTCTTATTCCATTGGAATATAACTCTGCGAAATGGCACAAAAACATAATATTTGCGATTTCGGAAAGTACACGAACAGTTTTCACGTCTAGTTTTAGACTTGAAGAGTTCATACTCGACGACTGCCTACGAAAGTTAACTTAGTTTCTACACATAAGCAGATCCATGAAAGAGTTTTATTACTCACAGCGACTTTTTCTCCATTGTTAAATAAGCTTTTGTACAATCATATAGAAAATAAAAGTAAGCCTCTAACCTGTTTAATATAATGGAAGTAAACTAACAGATCTAACAATTAGTTCTTCAGAGCGTCTATGGAAAACCAACAATTTCAGAACTATCACCATCCGTCACTAGTACTGTCATCCGGTGTATGATATCAAACTACATCAATGCTCAAATTTTTGTAAATCACCAACGTTCTTTTTATGGAGTTACAAGAGTCCTATATTCTTCTCTCAAGCACACAAAATCAATGGGAACCTCGGTGGTAAAAATGTTCAAACCCAACGAGGGCTCATTTCGAGCTTGAATATAATTTAATGTTATGTAGTAGCGTTGCAGGTCGATGATTCTTTATACATAACAGAAAAGTTGTACTTCAGTCATTGTACACAATATAGAAAAGAACAGTGAAGTTGATTTTTACAGTTCGTCTGCACAGATCAAGTTCGTGTGTTCGATTCAGCTTCGTGCAAGGATTGATTTTATGTTTTGATAGTTTCTTGTTTACAATACTTCAACACGTGTACGTCGGGAAGACTGTATAGGAACAAACAGAAATGACATGAGTGCAAAATCAATTGTTGTGATCAAAATCAATGTCAGAGAATATCAAAATATTATCGAGTATGCCTAAAAATCTGGTTAGCAGGTAAAGTCACGAATAAAGCCAAAAGAGATAAGTGTTGGAGTGGAATAGCAAAAAGATAATAAACATATAAAACTAGCCAGGGACTCAGTATGTCCCTGAACTTACGTACAATATCATACTTTCTTTCGAAAAAGATCATGTGGAACTTGACGTGTTCGTAGTTACAAAAGTCCTCTTTAGAAAAGGAAAGCTCAATTTTTACTTTAGCAGACGGTGTGCCAAAGGTTACGAAATTTAATTATTCCATCTTCTGCACCCCTTATCCCGGCAAGAAAGTAATGCTAATCGATGAAATTCATATCAGTGATGGGTATTAGCGAGTTCTACTTCAAAAAGATACTTGAACTTGATTACCCAGGCCTATCAAAACTAATAGCCAGAATAGACGGTATAGACTTTTCCTTGAACTGGTTCGCGGGCATGAAATCGAAAAACAGTAACCGTTATGGAGTTTCACCTTTTTTTGCTCTTCTTTGGAGGCGGTTTGGTATATATTTTTTCTGCCACAGTACTACTTAAAAAGACAGACATTAAGCACACTTGATAATGTTCTGCTATCATTTGACATTTGTCTTTTTAAGTAGTTCTGTGACAGAAAAAATATATATCAAACCGTGTTACACGGCAGGCCATTGTGAACGGAAAACTTAACCACCAAAGCTAAATATGACATTATGACTGAAATTAAGTTATGATTGCAGAATAATCGGTCATGTAAACAGCGCGTTTTGAGAGCTTAAGAAGTTATATCTTTTAATTGTACGAGGGACTACTCTGACAGAATCTTTTTAAACATTTTAATTTGACTTTTCTTTTCTGTGTTCTAGTAAATATTCTGTTATTAAATAATATGACATCTTGAAATGGCTTATAATGATGATGTACCATTTGTTGTAAATCTGAAAGAGAAACAAAGATTATTGGGTATCATTGCTTACGGTTCGCGCAATATGTTTTAAAAAAAAGTCAAATATTGATCATAAAATAGTAAAATCAGCTGTAGTTGTTTAAGAAATGAAGTAGTAATTGATTCAACAGTCGGGTTAGGTGACGCTTTAGTATCAGGTCTCCAGTTCTGGCCAATTCTGGTCAATTCCAATCAATCTTTCCGTAAATGTTAGGTTTAATGAGTTACGGGAATGAAAAAAGTTTGTTGTCTCCAAGTCTTACGGGTTAGGAGTTTTCCGGAGGTCAAGGTACCGAAAAGGATCCTGAAGTTTTTCCCAAGGTCTTTTAATATACTTCGAGCTGGAGACTTCTGGTTTGTTTTATTTTAAACTAGACACCTAACTGCATGGACTGACCGGCGCCGATTTTTCAAGTAAGCCCTTGTTCGTTTTGTGAACAATCAACAACCTCAGAAAGCTGAAAAAAGCTTTCTGGTTTTCTAGAAACTCTCAGTTTGACAAAAATCTAAGACAAAAGTTTGCTCTACAAATCTACGCGCTCAGAAAGAAATTTAATTGCATAAGTATGCAGAAAAGAAACTATTATTGGAAAACCCGGCTTCATGAGGCTTCTAGAAAATTTACTCGAAAGCGGCGAAAAACCACTTCTGTAACTGAAAGCAATACAGATTCTGAAATTGGACACTTCAGGCTATCTTCTATGTTCTTATCTCAAAACCAATTTTTTGACCGAAAATCAAAAAATTGAGGCGGGTAGGACCCTTAAAGATGATATATTCCCAAATTCATCAAAACATTATGTGCTCAAATCAGCAGCGAATCGTATTTGGATTGATATTACGGATTTAATTACATCACTATTAGAAGAATCTTCTGAAATTTCAATGGTTGCTACTGGAGTGGGCAAAATTTTAAATCGTCCTTTTCGCTCAAAACGTTTTCAATCAGAATCGTTTTTTGCATCATTAAGGACATGGCTGTTCATAATATCGATTGCTATGTCTATTATTTTTAAACTTTTTATTTTCAAGATATGGAAAAAAATTATATGAAAATTAAATTCAAAAATTTCATCAGTTTATTGATAAAGGGTGAAGAACAAAATAATTCTGATTTTACTCATTGTGCTAATCATTTTATGAAAGTTTTGTTAACATTTGCACAAGGTATGGTAAAATATGCTGTGCCTTGTATTTTCTTTAAATATACTACAAAAAGTAGCAAATGATTCGATGACTGCTCTTGCATCAACCCGTGCTGTTGAGTCAAATCCTACAACAGAAATGAATCTTATTTTATGGAAATTAACCGTATTAACTAGACAAAATATTAAAATATTAAAATTACTTGCACAAAAAACGACAAATGATTTAGCAAATTTGTTTAAAAATCAGTTAAAGGGGTGGACACATTAGAGGAGCCGGGGTCTTCTAATGTATCCTATCGTTCACAAATTTACGGGGGTCTTCTATTGTGTCCCTTAGAGATGTCATATTTTTTTGATATCCTCAGCAATAAAACACGCAGTTCAAAACCGCAGTAAGTAACTTATTTTTATCTCTGAATCATTATCCATAAGTGTTTAAGAAAGATTTTAGTTACGAAAGTAATAGAAGATTTATTTGCTGTGCACAGGAGAGACAGAGTCAGAAAGAGAGACACCAAAAGATGATCGCAATATGGCAGTATGGTGCTGTTTTCATTACATATCACGCCAAATAGACTGCGAGAGGACAGACAGACAGAACATACACGTGTGTTGACCTCATTTTGTTTCGTTCAAAGAAAAGAAAGTATTATTGCGCTTCAGCCTCAGAGATGTATATTGAAAAAAGTGACAAAAGGTAAAAGAATTTGCAAAAATTCTCAAAAAATCAACCTTTGTTAAGAGGGGAGTCTTCTAATCTGTCTTTTGCTTCGCTCACTCAGAGGGAGTCTTCTGTTCTATGGGTGTATTCTAATGTGTCCATCCCTTTATTTGATGAAAATGTCCAATTAGAAATGATCAGTTTTTTCAAAGTTATGGCTGCCGTGGTGTTGGAGAAATTGATATTGGTCATAAACGATGGTCTGATGATCCACAATTAGTTATTCAACAAATTAGAAAAATTATTTATAAATTATTAATCCTGATAAAGCTCTTGATAAAATACATGATCAAAGTAAACAAAGTGCGTATGATACTGTAAATTGTATTTGAAAATCAATTAAAATGGCCCTTTATTTAAAGACCAATATTAAATTAAGGTTTTAATAGCTTAAAAACTTTATTTTCATTAAAAGAATCATCAAAATTTCATGGAATTATTCAAATGTTTGATAAATGTCGTAAAAAACTTTTTAGAAATGCTCATATTGCTGTACAAGAAACTATTCTTCTTGACATTAATGACATTTGTTTCTTGTGTACTGATGAGTTACAAGCATTGGCTTTTGATACTGGTAATAAACAATACCAAAAAGCAAGTTATTGAAAAAATTTAATTTCTGAGCGTCGTAGTCAATACAATAAAGAAATGACTCATAAACAGGTACCGTTAATAGTATTATTATGATACCGAACAACATATTATGATGCGACAGCTATACCTAGTGGTGCTGAGCAAATTGAATTGATGGAAGGTGAATTTATTGGAAGTCCTGTATCTCCTGGCATATATGAAGGAAAAGTACGAATTGTTGATGATCCTACGAATTCTCAATTACATATCAGTTTGTACTGCTACTGATCCAGCATGGATATCATTATTTTCAATTGTAGGTGCATTAGTATCAGAAATGGGTGGTATGCATCAACATGATGCAATGGTTTCTAGAGAATATGGTTTACCTACTGTTGTTGGTATTGCTAATGCTAAAACAATATTTCATAATGCTCAGTGTATTCAAGTGAATGGTTCTACAGGACTTATTAAAATTTTATTTGACGAACCAATAATTTCGATCTTTTTTCTGTATGTTTAAATTAATTTGAATTAATTTTTTCGTTTTTATTGAACATACCAGGAACTAACTGGTGGTAAAACTGAGCAATGAAGCGGATTTACATTGAGAACCTACAGAAACAGACAAACACGGATATCAAAGGACTTAACAAAATTACAAAATACAACTATAAAATCGTCATCGACCAAATAACTCAACTCACGAGTACCAGGGATACTTACACGAATTGCATCTTCACATAACATAAATCTATCATTATACGTCACTTATATAACATCAAGGTCAAATATGGATGGTAATAAACGATTCTATTCAACAATATCACTACGTACTTGATCAACGGATAATTTTGTAGCACGAGTAGATAATGAGGAGAGAGTGTGGAGAATTAATGATGATTTTGGATGCAATTGTTTAAATGCATGTCTGATCACACATTTTGTCTAATCCGAGGCGCTAGAATATCCTCTGTGAATTTAACTATAGGCGGCACACACACATTTGTAACACCATGAGAATACCACCAATGAGACCAACAAGCGTTGTGATTATGTGGATAATATCATTTTGGACTACAATTGTGTAGGTACACTGATCTGGAGCACATTCGTCATAATGTGATATGTAAGAGAAATTCGGATGCCACCGTTCGACCATCAGTTGTTGTAATAATTGATCAACGGTTGTGTTTGGATGATATTAACTCGGGAATAAAGGATTCAGTGCTGTGAACTTTATTGGAGAAACTATTGAAAATGGAACATCATAACATGATTATGGATTGTTAATGGGTAGTCCATTATAATAGAATGTGTAGTTGAATCCGATGATCGCATCGATGATTGAACGACTGATACGCTCTTGTAATTGCCTGACGTTTGTCTGGTTGTAGAAAAGTTTGAGATTTGACTGTATCAACGATTCAATAATTGAACAGCCAGAGTAGAAGCCGAATATTAAGAATTTCTGATGTGGTGGATGAACCCAACCATCATCGTAAATAGTCCTTTGTTGAACACATGTTCATGAGTGGTGGCATGAGTAATTATTATATATTCTGTATGTGACACTTGTTGTTAAAATACTGCTTTTGCTATAAATGTAAGGAATGGATTCAATTTAACGACCAGACATAAGTGCATTGCCAGCATTTGTATCACGAACCATCCTAAGTGATAAAACGAACGAATTGATTGTAGATAAAATGAATCGATTAATCGTCGAATTTACTTGCTTAATAAATAATTCTTCAGGAACTACTTGTGACGAAATGTAGTTTGTCGAATAAAATGACAATAATGAGTCTTGAAAGGTTCGATTTGACAATTGACAAAATGATGATAACATGTCAAACGAGAACGCATCGCACAGAGATAGGTTTCTGACGAGGGGAAGGGGACTTAAACCGTTGCTTAGAAAAGGTATTTTCTTCTTTTGTATTCTCTGCATTATGTCACAAAAAACTTAGAACAAACTGTATGAATACAAACACACTATTAAAAGTAAAAGCTAACAGATTACTTCAAGTTGAGATATATGTATCTATACGAGAAAAAATATGAATAATTTTAAGCAGAGAATAATGAATGCAACTATTTTTAAATAATTGACCAATTGGTCGATTAAGGAAGCCTCGACTGGGACCGGTCTAGTCCGAGCTTATTTCATAAACAGTAGCGATCAATCCAAATGTGTAGTTCATTTGATGCTTGTTGGATAAGATTAAAATTATTGTTTAACAACGTATTTTCCATCAACCATTGTCGTATATCGTCTAGCTGTCTCAATCGTTGTTCATCACTACATTGTACGAATAAAAACGATAATTTTCTCATTTTATTAATTATTAAAAGAATATCATCGATATTATCGATTCGTATATGAAGTTCATCTAAATTTGAAAAAGTTCTAAACAAATTTTCTAATTGTCTATTGGAAATGCTTGTTGATAAATTTATAAATATTTTTTGAATCTTTTCATTTAAATATGAATCAAAAATGTTTGTTATTTGTATCAAATGAGAATCGTATAAATATAATGAATTTAAATTTGGTAAATATTTGAATAATCGATAAATAATTTGAGTTTTATTATTATCAAATATTAATAGTTTAATAGTAGATAAATTTATTAATGTCCTTAATTTATAAAATGATATATAAATTTTGTGTTCATTTGATATTTTTAAAGTAGAAATATTTGAATAATATCGATCGGATAATATTGTTTCACCAAAAATAGTAAATGTTAATGATAGTTGTCGAACATTATTATACATAGTTCGTTGTAGAAATAATGGTGCAGTTCTTACTGTAGTACATGTTGATATAGCTTCGATATCAAATTGACGATTGATGTATGGATGAGTATAAACATAACTGTACATATTATTAATATGATGATCATATTGAACAAACCATCGATGTTCATCAAACCAAAATGATGTTCGAAACGTGTCTATATCTACAGGAATAGCAGTGCCTATTTTGAATAAAAAAGAAAATTTTGTCAATAGTGGTAAATATCTTTGAATCAATTGTTTCCAATGATTGCCATCAACTAATTTCTTATCTTCCATACATGTAGTTACTTCTAGTGTTAAATATTTTAATTTTGGAAATTCTCCAAGAACAGTTTCAATATAGCCAAAATCCAACTTGAAATTAAATTTTAATTTCAAACATACTAAATTGGACACAATTGATTGTAAATTGTTGACAGTTATTGTGTAAAATTCGGGATAGCTCGTATCTATTGAATAACTAAAATATTTCAATCGTGGTACATATTTCAATAGTTGTTCCATATGATCGATGCAGATATTATTCATTGATAAGTATTCAATGTTTGATGTTGTTGTTGCAACCTGCTGTTTAAAATCGATGACTGTACCATTAGCACTGAACGATAATCTTCTTAACGTTGGAATTGCATTCGATAATAATAAAAATAAAAATGTTTCTGAAAAGCATTGTTGAGTTGTTCGTCTCGAATCAAGTTCAATCAATAGATAAGATAAATTGTATAAATCGAATGAAATTAATTTTAACTCATGTTCCTTAATATCAAATAATTTCAAAGTACAAAGATTGACTAATTCTACAACTGAAAACAATGAGAAAAACATTGGTATTTGATTAATAATAATACTACATTCAGTAATAGGCGAATGCCGATTGTAAAGCGATAGTGATCGAATATATTGTGGAATTATATTTTGACAAACACGAGCGAATGTCAGTTTATTACTGTTAATAAAATTCAATAAATACCATTGTTTTGCAGTAAGAAGATACGATAAACGAGTATTTAAACTGTAGAACGAATAATAGAGAGCACATTTGTCAAAGTATTCAAATATTTCAAAAACTAACTCGTTCGGTAAACATTCAAATCGTGTTACACTCATGTCGTTCCAATATAAATAAACTTTTTACCAAAAGTATGACATTATTCGACATAAATTCGATTTTTAAGTAAAGAGATATGATTCATTTCTTTCTATGATGAATAATGAAAAGTTTCTACATTTATGTACTTGCTTTTTTCTTTTTCTTTCTATGTGTGTGTTCTCTTTTACGAACGTAAGTCAGTGAGAAGAACAAATATATTTTCTTTTTCATATACTAACCAATGACATAACGCATTATGTCATCATCAATATCATCTACACGATCGTCTACTGATTTAGCAACAGAAAGTATTTTCTTGCTGTTTCTGTTTTTATTTTGTTTGAAGACTTTTTTGACTCCATCTATCTTCGCTCACCAGATGTCGCCAGAGTAGTGCTCAAAACGGAGCTAAAAGTTTTGTTTCAGAAGGGTGCTGGAGAGCTTAGGATGGTGTTAGAATGAAGCCTGCACATGTGACTAGAGGTTGACAGAGTCCGAATGTCGGATATTTGTGTTACGGGTTTTTGACAGGGATCAAAAGTCGAAAATTCTAAAAATCCTTCTCTGTGTCGAAAACTAGAGCAAAATTCAAAAATGATATTATGTCAGTCTCCAGCCATATGGGTTGGCTTCAGTTGAAACCATCCCTAACTCTCCGGAATCTAAAATGAGTGAGAATTTTGGAAAAGGCTTAGAGTGGCGAAGACAAAAATCGATTTTTAAATATCATGCCCCTAGTGAACGAGAAATGGTTGCTGTAGAAAATAGCATTACAGTACAGTCGGATAGAGTAGGGTCACCATGCACACCGCTGTGTTCAACCATGATCGATGCGTTTCGTTTCCATAGAGAACGTAAATTATTCTTTTTTTCTTTACTTTCTTTTCTAACCGACATTGTCGCTACTAATTTATTGATTGAGAAATGTATGTGTGCGTTAAGCTTGTTCAAAGAAATACAGAGACCAAGTTACAGCTCCTGAAAATATACAAAAATAGGTGGAACCGTGCTGGTCCGGTTCACATCCAATAAAAACAGGTACAGATCGCTTCATATAAGTAACGAAGTCGTACACCACTAATGGAGAATGTCTGTCAATATTAACCGTTCTTTATATCGTAGGATACAGTTTATGACAAATGTTTCAACCTATACTTTACGCTGTAAATATTTTTCGTATCCTTAGTCTATCCTACCATGTTAGAGTATGGTAGGGTTTCCCTTCACACATCTACACTTCTACTGACAGTATCGATTTATATTGCTTCCCTCATTCGATATTTGTAAACAACCAAAGCAAACAGTAAAAGAAAATCACTTTCGTTCTATTTACAGGGAACCAATTGAAGAAATCATTTGAGTCCTGTGAAAGGTAAAGAAGTATGCTTTTGTTTTCCGACGAACGAGGAGTTTTCAGCTCAGTTCTTCAAAACATGAGCTTTTCAAAAAAGCAGAAAATTTAATCTGTCTTTTGAGTTTTTTGAAGTTTTCTTAGGTGAACACGAAAATCATAGTTGTCAATCACTGTTTTTGTTCTGCTGAAGCTTTGGATATACATAATCATTAGCAACGTAAGCATTAAAACGTCGAATACTTACGAGTGATCAAGACCATTTCGATTCACCATTTGCAACGTAAACAGCAAGATAATGAATCTGTAACAAATTATTATGGTGAAATCGTAACGTTATGTCGTGCAAAAAGTGTCTGAATCAACAATCATATAGCATTTGCTAACTGGAATGAAATCAGAATTTCGGAAAGAACTATTTCGTCAGGCACCATTTGAATCATTGAGAAATTTCTTACAAGTTGCTAAAAAGGAAGAAGATTTTCAGAAAATTTTAGAAAACCGCCAAATGATGATTTTCATTCTAAATAATTCGAATCATTTAACTCATCAATTTCAACGACACCAAAAACATTATCACCCGATCATATTAAAGTTAGAGTTAATGGAACACCGTCTCAAGCAATCGTCGATACGGAATCCGCCACCAAAATCTATTAAAAATCAAAAATTCATTTTTAAATCAAAAACATTAATAACTGCAAATTCGTCAAAGTTAACCATTATTGGTTTTGCATTCCCATTGAAATTTAGATTCAACATGTAAAAACCAATGTAATTGCTGCAGTATCTACAAAGGAGACCGTACAATAAGAAAAGTTTTGAATGTTTTCAAACGGATTATATGGTTCGATAGAGCTGATCAAGGTGCATCCGACGATATACTTGATTTTGCCTAGAAATAATTTCTTCACTGTGAAATATATTTTCTTTTCAGAAATAGCAAACATTGATATCCATCGAGAAAAAGGTTTTCTAAAAGAAATGTTTCTAATGTTCATTTACATATCGTTAGATGCGCCAATAAATTCTCTATCAAATACACTACTGATCAAAAACATACGATTGGATAGCCCTTAAAATTCTTCACAAAATTGAACTGGTCAGAATATCCAGACAGGTGAGGTCAGTGAGTAAAGATATGACAAAGAAGCGTTCGAGTGTTATATATGCAGTACAGTGTGTCATAATCACAAGAACTCCTCTGTTTTTGATCTTTTAGTAAAGGTTGGGATCAATCTGAATACTGTTTTGAATAGCCCGAAGATTTTTCTATTATATGAAGTGTTTATTGCCGTTTCATGAGATAAGTTGATTATAGGGTTTCTGGAAAACCTGACCGCTAGAAAACCAAGTCCATGGTTTTTAGCCAAAAAATTTTCCAGACCATATAGCCCGATAGAACATAAAATTCTGAGAAAAATAAGACATCTCCCGGCGCTCTACAATGCTTTTTCACCGGATTTGTTTGATAGTTTCCACGCCCTTTGCAACCATTCGTAAATCGACTGCAGTTGCGTGAAAAACCATAAAATATCTTATTGCATCACGGTGTTGTTATGGGTGAAAATTAATTTTTTTGAGACCCTCTGTTGTGCAAAACCATTTGTTACCTGAAGTAACATTACAAATTTCTTTTTCAAAATGAACCGTTAGGTAGGATCAGTAGTGTATTTGATAGAGAATTTATTGCTATTTCTGAAAAAAAACTTTCCTGGTGGTTTAAATATATTTTTAAGACATTTAGCCTACGAAATATAGGAAATCACAGCGAGTATCATCTTCTTGGTGTATGTAATTATACATTCAATAAAATATAAAACTTGTCTTTTCGCATTTATTATTTTGAAAGAAAAGATATTCTTTGCGCATATAATAGAGAACTAGCAAATAAAGGGATATCCTCCCGTTGCACATATACATATCTAGAGATGTTGGCCGACTTTTTCATCGGCGGCGGCGGAGAAGTGCAAAAAAAATTGGCGGCGGCGGCGACGAAGTTATTAATGAGTTACTTCCGAGAAATTTGTTGACTGTAGCTTTAATGCAAACGTTAGTCGTTCCGATCTGGTAACAACATGATCTCCAGATACATTGAGTTTCGCGCAAAAGAAAAATAGTTTTTCAACGTATTGTATTTATTTTTCTTTAATTACGAAGTGCTAAAAAAGAAACTCGAACTGTAACAATTCGATCGGCGGCGGAAAAATCCCTGCTCAAACAGATTATTTTATCTTCTAGCAAAAGATGAATGAAAGAAAAGATTGCCACATTCTTAATCAGCACAGTGAACACTGCAAATTAAGTGTATAAAATGGGAAAAAACGTTTTATTTCCACACCTTACATGAGACATATTTAAAATGATTAGAACCTTTTATGAAAACTATAGCTTATCAGAGACCGAATCGGGTCTTACGTGGATGACCCGAACCCGACGCGACCCGAACATTTTTTACCCGAACCCGACCCGACCCGATTCAATATTTTTTATATTAACCCGAACCCGACCCGATCCGAA